ACACCGCGTTTTTTTCCCTATTAAATTCATATGAGCCTTCCACTCTTAATTTGTCTACCCTTTGTTTGCCCTCTTTTCTTCTTTTTCTTTTTTTTTTTTTTTTCTTTATTCATTTATTCTTTTTATTTTTCTTTGTCCCCCAACCAATCTCTTTCATATTCTTTTCATTCTTTTTTTTCCATCCATACACACACACACACACACACACATATATATATATATACATATATATGTACATGTATATATATACAAACATCATATTTCTATGGTTGCCTTTTCTTGGTCATGTGCTTTGCACCATTGTTGAACGGCGTGTGAAAGCATTTTTTATTTATTGATCCTCTGCCATCGTTGCGTTTTGTTTTATTTTAATAATTTTTCTTTTTCTTTTATATCATTATTTCTTTTCTTCTCTTCTTTTTCCTTCTTTCTTTCTCTCCTTCTTATGTATTTTTTTTTCTTCTTTTCTCTCTTTAATTTTTTTTTTTTTTTTTTTTTTTTTTTTTTTTTTTTTTCTTAAGCATACATTCGTCCGGCAATGTTTCGTTTCAAATGAGATAGGGATATTCGTTTTTATTTCTTTTTTTTTTTTTTTTACTTTTTTATTTTTTTATTTTTTTCTTTCTTTTTTTTTCTTTTAGTTAAGAACTAAAAGACTGAGAGAGAGAGAGAGAGAGAGAGAGAGAGAGACGGAGAAAGAGAAAGAAGAAATAGATTTCATTTTTTTCGTCGAATCCATCGATCGGAGAAAGTTCGTAAAATTTTTTTTCCCCCTTTTTTTTTTCCTTTCTTTCTTTTCTACTTCCACGTTTTACTTTTTCTTCCTTCTCTTTTACTTTTTCCTTCTATGGCATCCTTTTTATAAACTCTCGACGAACGACTTTCATTTCATGCAAATTCGATAATATAATTTTCCTCTTTCTACTTTGTTGAATAATAATCGATCAATTAAAGTGAGAAGATAGGAGATAGAAGATAGAAGAAGAAGATGAAGAAGAAGAAGAAGAAGAAGAAGAAGAAGAAGATGGCTAAAGATTAAATCTATCTTCTTATTAGCGTTTTCTTATAATTAACAATAATAATCTATCAATTTTTTCGTTTAAAGCTATGGTCCATTAAAAATGTCATTAACTAATTCGGAATGTTGAAACACACTTAGATCGTTTGTTGTTGTTGTTGTTGTTGTTGTTGAAAACGGTTCAATCGTCTCCCTCCTTTTTTCTTTTCTTTTTTGTTCTTTTTTTTTTTTTTGTTTTTTGGATTTTGGTTTCCTCCCTCTCTCAAAATTACACCCAACATGCTTTCTAATACGTGCTAATCGTGAAAGATCGAAGATCGAAATATATTTTTTCTTTTTCTTCTCTCCGAAGAATAAGAAAATTTCTTTTCTTTTTCTTTTTTTCTTTTTTTCTTTTTTTTTTTTTTTTCGTTTTTTTTCCCCCTTTTAAGAAATATAATAATAAATCTATTAACGATAAATAGGACGTCGTTGTATATATGTAAGTATCACGTGGACTCTTTTTCCTTCTTTTTCGACGAGTCACGTTTTGTTTTTTTTTGTTTTTTTTTTTTTTTTTTTTTTTAATATACACGAACATTCGTACATATTAAAATTCTAACGTTTCCCGGCAAACAGGACTAATTGTGGAGTAACAATGGTGACAAAAAGAAAAAGAAAGAAAACAAAAAAAAAATTGATCTAAAAGAAAAGAAAAAAAAAAAGAAAGAAAAAAATGAATAAAAAGATTGCGTAAAAAATTTGTTGAAATAAATATTTTCTAATCAATTCAAATATATATATATATATATATATATATATATATATATATATATATATACCGTTTTACAATTCCTATTCCGAGGACCTTTTAATTACTCGCTCGTCTTATAAAGAAAAATATAAGGTAAAAAATAAAGAAAGAAAAAAAAAAGAAAAAAAAAATGAGAGAAAGAAAATCCAAACTAATAATAACAGCAGTGCCAATAATTTTTTTCGTCTACAATTTAAATTCACCAATCAAGTTTAAGATACGAAAAATTCGTTCCCGTTTGATTTCCCATCGTTATAATATTCGTACCTAATTTATTTCTTCTTTTGGCACTGATCTATATATCTAACGATCCAAAAATCTCGATTCGAAGCAAAAGTTATGGTTACGAAAATCAAAGAGATATGTCTTTCGTTAATTTAAATCAAAGAAATACGATTGTAAATTATAAAAGGCTGCTTGCCGAGATTACGTCGAAAAAATTCGTTGCCTCGTTTACGAATTATTTAATATCAGAATTTCTCAGAATTCTACACAACTATTGGCACAAATTTTATCAAGCTTTATTTGCGATAGTTATTCCGTTAGATTCTGAATATTAATTATCGCAAAAAAAAAAGAAAACTCGTCTATCTGATTTTTCGATCGATTAATTTAATCAATTAATTAATCAACGAGGACGACGACGATCAGAGGATCCTTCGTGCTGACTCATAATATCGTTCGTGCGCTTAAGTAAATTATATTATATCATTATATTAAGAAAGAACGAAAGCACACGGAAGAATCCATTGGATCAATGATTCATCGATCGATCAAATCGAGATCATCGAGATCTATCCGTTTCATTTATTTATTTATTTATTTATTTATTTTTCTTTTTTCTTTTTCGAATCAAATTAAGCGAATGAATTCATTCGTTCTTGAGCACATTTCCTTTCTTTCTTTCTTTCTTTTATTTATTTATTTATTTATTTATATTATTAATATTAATATTAATATTATTATTATTTCCCTATCTTATCTCATGTTCATATAAAGAAAAAAAGAACAAAAGATAACGAGCGATAAAGATCGATAAGACTTTCGTGGAAGAATGATTTTCGTTGGTTCAATCGAGACGAACATTCGTCTACGATTTCGTCACAGCTGCTTTTAATTAATTATCGAGCGTGTTACTGACGAACGTATCACCGCCTCTCAATTTCCGCTTCTTGATTCGACGCTTCCGTCACTGGGGGCAAAGGACTCTCCATTGATATTTGCCTGAAGGATAATTATCACATATTGATTGAATACCGTCGATGGACTTCGTATACGAGCTATCCGAGCTTCCTCGACATTATATTCTTTTTTTCTATTTTTTCTTTTTTTTACTCTGTTCCCTTTTACATCGAAATTAATTAATTTTCATTCGTATCGACAATTTTTTCTTCTTCTTTTTTCCTCTTTTTTTTTTTTTCTTTTCTTTTTTCATTCAACACAGCCCTTAAAAATAAACGACGCATAAAATCGAAAGAACGTAAATATTACAAAGACATTTTTAAAATCTTCGAATATACGATCGCACGAGTTTGTACATTTTTCTGTTTTTTTTTCTTTTCTTTTTTTCTTTTTTTCTTTTTTTTGATCAACGTAAACATTTCGAAAAATTATTCATAAATTTTCACCTGTTATTAGCCTGCCAATCGTACGAATCCGGTGCCGAATTACTTCTACCTGATCTCTGAAATCTCTCGGTTTTGATGTTTCTCGGTGTAACTGAACGTTGGACCAAGGATTCCGTAGTCCTTTCTAAAGGTAGAGAAGGCTCCGTCACTGGGTCACCGTCGTTGCCTAAAGTTTTACTAATTTTCTTCGGTAGAAAAGGATTCTGTAAAAAGAAAAATGAAAGAAAAGAAAGAAACCATTATTTCCTTTTACTTTCATTTATTATAAATTTTTACTTTCTTCTCTCTCTCTTTCTTTCTCCCTTTTTCCTTTCTTTATCTTCTTCTTATACTTTCAGCTTTCAACTTTTTCAAGGAACTTACGTAAAACGAGGACGCATTTGTTCAGCTACATATATCAACTGTTCTATCTCTTTTCCTCGTTGCACGTTAGCTACGAATAAATCCGACCCCTTTAAATCCTTCCTCATGTGCGTTTTCCCTCTCTCTCTCTCTCTCTCTCTCTCTCTCTCTCTCTCTCTCTCTCTCTCTCTCTCTTTCTCTCTCTTTCTCTTCCTATATCTCTTTCACTGCTCTATTTCCCTTTCTCTCGCGTTCTCTTTCTCTCTTACAAGTGCCGTACATACTAACAGTGAATACTTTATGCGAGAATTTTGCATAGTCTTGACATCCATGTAAAGTCGGATACGTCAGCGTTCCCGTTTTGTGTTTAATCAGAAAGATCAGAGAGGACTAAGAGTGAATAATTGCTGTTTTAGATATAGTTCATTTTACGTATAGTAAACTCGAATAGTAATAGGAAAAATGTTTAACAAACTAATACACAACGAAATGAATTGAGTTATTATCGAAGAAAAAGATTTCTGTTTCGATTTAATTTATTTAAATATTTTTTTTTTTTGTTATTTACGCCTGGAGTCAGGCAACACTTCATACACCGTCGATAACGTAGTAAACGTACTAACGTATTATACATTACATTATTGCCTATCGTAGGAGCACAAAAAAGTTTCTCACTGATAGATGGCACTCGCAAGTCATTATTATCAACAGCGTTTGAAGTGTTGCCTATGTTCAGGCACGATAATTACGAAACGATAATTAAAAATCGTAACGAATAGGTCATTAACATTCTTGACGATTAAAAAAACTAACGTCATCGGGATGATCATTTTCACTTGAAAAAAAAAAAAAATAACTGATAAACTCTGTAATTCCCAAAAGAGAAAAATAAGAGAGGGACAGAGAAAGTGAACGATAAAGAGTGAAAGAGAGAATATCTTTGAATAAGAACGAAAAGATCAAGGTAGTTTACATAATTGAAATTCAATGCAATTCTTCTTTATCCGTGAAATATCAGAAATAAAGGCCAAGAATAAAGGTCGAGAGAAGTGACTTTTCATATTAAACCAATTAAGTTCCTTGAAAAAAGGGTAGAAAAAAAAGACAAAAAAAAAAAAAAGAGAAAGAAAAAAGAAAAAAGAAAAAAGAAAAATAAAAAAACACGTGTACAAAAAAATTCATTCTTTGATATTGCTAACGGATGTAGAAAGGAGCACGACATCCTTCCTTTTGGTTCTTGAAAAATAATGATTCAATGTCCCCATTTTTATTTATTTTACGTATACGCGTCTCCGTGTATGTGTCCCTGTTTAAAGATATAATAAAAAAAAATTCATAGACTTGTAAACATGTGAAAGAATGAAAGGTAAGATGGATGATCTATTTATATAGGATCTTTCGAGCGACCTCGATAAAGCAAAACGGTTATGGTAACCTTATTGTCTTATCATATCCGTTTTAATAAATGTATAGCACTATGGACGATCGTACGATAGTGAAACCGGATTACATATCCGCACATATTGCGGTTACGATATACCGCATCCCTGAACGCGCAATCGAATTTCAAAGCTAGAGTAGATACGAACGAGATCGAGGAATGAAAGAGGAAGAGAAGGAAGAGGATGAGGGAAAGAGTGTGTGTTGTGGGAAGAGCACAAAGAGAGATGGGGGGGTAGAGGACGAACGGACGGGATGAAACTCGACGATAAGAGAAAACGAGAAAATATACGAATGGTTATATCAACGAGGGATAAAAGTATAAAAAAAAAAAAAGAAAAAAACTAAAGCATAGAGAAATTTCTTTGAAATAAGATAGCTCAGATGAGTTTTCGCTCGTGATAATACGCGAATTGGGAATAATCGATTATAAATCGAATTTTGTATTTTAATTCAAAATTTGTCTGATGTTTCGATATATATATATATATATATATATATATATATATATATATATATCAAGCACATATATATGTGTGTTTTATTGTTTATAAATGACGATCATGCCGTTAAAGCTGCCTATAAGAAATATATTATCTATATTATCTAAGTACTATGAGTTATGAACGATGAAATCAAATTAACGAATAGATTGAAAATCATTGAATTTATGAGTCATATATATATATATATGTATATATATATTTTTTTTTCATTTTTCTTTTTTTTTTTCTTTCTTTCAAGCGTAACACTGTCTTACTTGAAAACTATGCTGCTTGAGCATTTTCTTAATGAGAATCAATGTGTCCAGTTTGGGTACTTTGGTTACGACTCTTTCTACTTCCTCGTCGGTAACCGTAACCGGAAGTCGACAATTGTCCGCTTCGCTCGGCAATGGATCTTTTCCAGTATCGGTTAACCAATCGTGTTCCTTTAATCTTTGCAATGATATTCTCTCGGTTGGCTCCTTCGTCAGCATCCTTACAATGAGATCCTTTAGATCCTTCGAGAGGATCGGATTCTCTGGAAATTTTAAAGGTTCCGAACGTATGGCAGCATGAACGCCTATTATACTTCCCGCACCGTCCCAGGGTACTCTTCCGGTAACCAAGGAATAAAGTGTCACGCCCATTGACCAAACGTCGCATGGCTGTAAATAAATAAACAAATAAATAAACAAATAAATAATGTAATTAAAGTAAATAATCATTCAATTATATATTCATATATATATATATATATATACTTGATCTAAATCAGAGAAAAAGAGAGAGAGAAAGAGTGTAACAGATTTTTAACGATTAAGCTACGGTGGTTTAATTATCAAGTCAAGAATTATCAAGAAAAAAGAAGAAAAAAGAAGAAAAAAAAAAAAAGAAAAAGAAAAAAAAGGAGACTGCGGTCATTCACTGTTACTGGTAATCTTCGACGTGCGGTTAACATTTTGATGGATCGTCCGAGAGAAAATTATACGGTGTCGAATGGCTTAAAGCGACACTTCAAGAATGTGAATAGATCATTTTCTATTGCTCCGAGCTAACTCGATCGTAAGCATATCGAATGAACAACTTAACGAACTGGAATGAATTACTTTTGTCGTTAAAGAAGGAAGAGAGAGAGAGAGAGAGAGAGAGAGAGAGAGAGAGAGAAGTGAAAAAAAAAATAAATAAATAAACAACAAAGAAAATGGAAAGAACATTGCGATATTTCGCAAGAGAAAAAGGAAGGAAAGAAAAACAAAAAAAAAAAGAAAAAATAAATAAATAAATACTTCCTTTAATATTTATCTTTTAATTAAATATTTCATAACCTCATAATATACATATAATACGGATATTATTCTATCTCAGTATTTCTCTCTATTTCTGTGTTTTTGTTATCACTTCAGGCGAGACGCATTATCTTCACACAATTTATCAACGTGCCTTTTCATTAGATCCTAACGCTTTATATACGCTACGGTTATATCTCGAGTTGGCAAATTCTCGTAAATCGCATTCATGATTTCGCGAATACGACAAGTTGGAATTCGCGAGAACAACCGTAGATAATTATTTCGATGGAAGTACGTGAAAACGATATATACCGGTATCCACTAACTACAAAATCTCTTAGGATGGATATCCAAGTCGAGGACTACTATTCTTATCGCGTTTAGAAGTAATTAAGTCTCTCTTAATTGTCTTTCTTCTCTGTGTACGCGATCTCGTTAATTGTCTTTCGCCAATTATCCTGAAATAGAAACGCACGATACCGAGAAACTTAGAACGAAAAATTGAACCAATTTATTAATTGTATCTGATTAACCAATTATAAAAGGAGATAAACAAAGAAACAGAAACAGAGACATAGCAAGATAGATAAAGAGAGAGAGAGAGAGAGAGAGAGAGAGAGAGAGAGAGAGAGAGAGAGAGAGAGAGAGAGATAGAAGGGTAATTAGAAAAAAAAAAAAAAAAAAGCGATCACCTCCTTCGCGAGACTTTTTTTTTTTTTTTCTTTATAATTTGGCTCTTAATTAGACTGGATAATTCTGAAATTGAAGAATTAAGATCATCCTTGAAATATGTTTTGAAAATTTCTAATCGATTTTTAAAAAGATCGAATGATTTAAGAAAGACTCGAATTCTTGTCAGAGAACGAGAGAGATAGAGAGAGAGAGAGAGAGAGAGAGAGAGAGAGAGAGAGAGAGAGAGAGAAAATAGTAATAAACGTCGATTAATCGTTTAATTTCAATTTCGTCGTTATAAACATTATTAAACGTCGACCTTCGAAAATGACCTTATCCCATTCGATACCGATCGAGTAATCTCGATTAAGCAAACTACGTTACAACTACAGTTCGCTCGAGGAATACGATTACGAAGCTTCTCGGCCAAGGGTTATTTACATTCTGTAATTACGCCTGGTATCACGATTTTAATATCGACCAATGAAAATCGATAAAAGCCCTTTTCCTGAATAACATCGATAATGAATATATCAAGGAGATCAACACTCAAGATAATACGAGTACGATTAACCTACGTTCTATTTGTTTTCTCTTCCCCTCTCTCTCTCTCTCTCTCTCTCTTTCTCTTTCTTTCCGCTCTCTGTATGTCTCTTTATTTAATTTTACGATGAAAGAAAATCAATTAGTTAATAAATACTTAATTAAATTCATTTTATTGTCGGAACGATATCTTTATATCGTTTTATTCGTTCAATGCATAACGATTGAGTTATCCTCGAAACTTCTGCTTTTTTTTTTTTTCTTTTATTTTCTTTTTTTTTTTAATCCTAACCAGACAAAAAACTATCCATCGTCGAATAAAAAAAAAAAAAAAGCTGGGATTTTCTCTTTAGATCTTTCCCATCGTCTACGTTCGATCGATGAACTCTTATCCTACTAGTCCGATAACCGTACACGTTGGCACGTGACCCGTTGGCCAGGAAACTTTCACGATGAGTTACTAGCACGGCTAAGGATAACGAGACAGATAGAAACGTGTCCGTTCTATCACGTTCTCGTTCGTTGAATTAAAGGAAAAAACAAAACAAAAAAAAAAAAAAAAAAAAAAAAAAAAGAAAAAAAAAATTTAAAAAAGAAAGAACGATCGATTTTTCTATCCTCAACAATTTTCACGAACTATCCAAAATCCCTTTGATATTCATTCGCACGTATCATGTACCTCGGATGTATTCGAATTTTTTTTTTACGAATGAAAAAAAAGAGAGAAAAAAAAAGAGAGAGAGAAGAAGAAGAAGAAGAAGAAGAAGAAGAGGAAGAAAAACGATCGATTTTTTTTTCCCCCCTCGACAATTTTTCCAATTACTAAAATTCCTTTGAGATCAATCCGCTACGTATTATGAGCTACTTCGGAGAAAAGATACATTTAGAAAAAAGAAAAAAAAGAAAAAGAAAAAAAGAAAAAAAAAAAAAAAAAAAAAAAGAAAAAAGAAGAAGGATAGGTATTTCGTAAAATCGCACGAGCGAAAGGGACGAAAAAATTCATCCCTCTTTTTTCCTTTTCCTATCTCCTAAAGAAAATCTTTTCGTTCGACGTATAAACAAGATCGAATACGAAATAGAAATTCCAAGGGTTATATCGAATGTTTCGAGAGAGCGCCGTCATCCGTTATCCATTTTATTGACATACCAAAAGAAAAAGAAAGAAAGAAAGGAAGAAGAAAAAAAAAAAAAGAAAAAAGAAAAAAGAAAAAAAAAGAAAGGAAAAAAAACAGAGAGACTCGAAAAAGAATAAGAGTTCGATGCTCGAAAGGATCCATCGCTTTCGTTCGTTTTATCGTACTTAACGTTTACGCGTAACTTTCAGTGTCGTTTACGTAAATAGTAAAATAAAATGTTTAGAATCAATTGAAAGAATTTTTTTGGTCGTTCGATGATCCATGATTTTTTTTTCTTTTTTAATAACAGAATTGGAAATGCATTTACAAACGCATTATTATACTGATTATTATACCCGAGGCTTCAAAGAATATGTACTATCTTCTTTTTTTCTTTCTTTTTTTTTCTTTTTTTTTTTTTTTTTTTTTTTTGGGAGCTCAAAATTGTTCATTCCGTATTAAATGAAGGTCGTTCAAAATGTCCCGACATCATATCCCATGTGCGCAAATTGAAATTATTACGAGATGTGCGCAACTAAGGATATAAATAAATAAATAAATAAATAAATAATTAATTAATTAATTAATTAATTAATTTTAAGTACTTACCGTTCCGGAATAATGAGCATCGGGCGTGGTTGTTTCCGGTGCTGCGAAAGCCGGTGTACCGGCTGGTCCAGATAACAATTCTCCGGATGTCCTTAATTCCGCGCTAACACCCAAATCGGCGATCTTTATGCGTCCATCGCTATCCACCAGAAGGTTGCTCGGTTTAATATCGCGATGTACTATTCGTTGATAATGTACTGTGAAAAAGATTAGGAGAAAGAAAGAAAGAGAGAGAGAGAGAGAGAGAGAAAACGAGAGAGAGAGTGAGAGAGAGAGAGAAAAGAAACAGAAAGAAAGAATTACAATCGAAATCACAGTATTAATTTTCTTATTTTCTTAATAAACGAAATGCATAAGATTTTTTTCTTTACGATAACATTGATAACAAATATAGAATGACTCATTTCTACGATAATCCAATGAGAGATAATTCGTAAGTCCTTCTTAGATCATTATTTTGATCTATTATTAAAAATCAATTAAACACTTTCGAGATATATTTCGTGAACGATATTAATATTTTTCAATATTAATATTATCGTTTTTAGTTAAGAGTCAAACTATATATATATATATATGTGTATATAAAGAAAAGAAATGGTTATATGAAGCAGATGATTGATATCTTCTTTTCTTTTCTTTTTTCTTTTTCTTCTTCTTCTTTTCTAATTACCTCACTCGTTCAACGGAACGTACGTATGTTCGAACGGTTCAATTAATAAGATACGATTGATAGGATAAGATGCGGGCGAGAAAAAGAGAAAAAAAAAACCAGAAAAAAAAGAAAACAGAAAAGACGTGAGAAAAGACGAGAAAAAAAAAAGAAAGAAAGAAAGAAAGAAAGAAAGAAAGAAAGAAAGAGAGAGAAAGAGAGAAAAGAACTCACGATATTCGACACCCATAACGACGTCCCGAAAATTCTTCCTGGCTGTATCCTCATCGAGCGGCTTGTCTGTTGGTATCTGTAGAACTTCTCCCTTCTGTACCAACTCGAATACCAAGTAAAGATTATCCTCATCCGGGTCGTCGAGTACTTCGACCAACTTGACGACGTTCGGATGATCCAGTTTCTTCAATAGAGCTATCTCTCTGTATACCTTAGCCAAAGGATCCGCGGTACCCTTTCTACCGGGTGCCATTCTACCGAAAATACCAGCCTTCTTCATCAGTTTCCTTTTGCTTAATATCTTCATCGCATAGTGGGTATCGTCTTCCTCGTTGTAAGCTAACTTTACGATACCGTATGAACCCTATCGTACGAATAACGAGAAAACTTTATTAAGAGATTAATTATAGTTTCTTCAATAAATATCTACACGCTTATATCTATTCACATATATATATATGTGTGTGTGTGTGTGTGTGTGTATGTATTTATATATATTTTTTCACGGGTATATATATATATATATATGTGTATGTATATAATCTTTTTAATCGGTAATGTAAATAAGTACCTAATAAAATTCAAAGTAGGACTATTATAGTTTGAAATGTGAAAAGTTCGAGATTAAAACTTGCTCGTTATATACATATATAGAATTAATAATATCATTTAATAGTTTTGAGAGATAAGAAAGAAGTTACATTTCGATTAAGCAAAACGAATAGGATAAAAGCGTGGGAGAGATTGACTCGAAAAAGAATGAATGAAGGGGAAGGGGTTAAACTTTTCTATAGGACGTGGCGTGCATAAAAGGGGAGTCCAACCGTAAAATGATTCGTATTCGTTAAGTCGAAATCGTTATTTCGTGAAGATATGTTCTTTGAGAGAGAAATATGATAGAGAGAGAGAGAGAGAGAGAGAGAGAGAGGGAGAGAGAGGGAGAGAACGAATAATTCGAACGAAATATTATTTCTAATTAAATTGAGAAAATAAATATATAAATAAATAAATAAGTAAGTAAATATATAAATAAATAAATAAATAAATAAATAAGTAAATAAATAAATAAATAAATAAATAAATAAATAAATAAAGAAATATTTATCTTCATATAATCGCGATATCAAAGATTAAAATTTCGAAGATTAGGAAATACGTAAATTGAAAGCAATTTAAAACTAACGTCCCAATTAGCTTTTATTATTTCATCGTTGAATCGACGTGACGTTCTCGTAATTAATTTGCCGTCGTTACCGGTTGCGACGACGGTAACGAGCTCGATCTCTCGAACTACCAACGCGGCCAATTTGACTTTGACTTTAATTATACCGGGCAGAGATTCTTCTTGCCGGCGCCTCGGGCTAAACGCCAACCGATATCATCATTCTCTTTCGCACTTTTAAATTTTATTAATTTTCTTTTTACTGCTCGATGAATTTCTAAAGGGAAAGAAAAAAAGAAAAAAAAAAAAAGAAAAAAGAAAGAAAGAGAAAAAGAAAAAGAAAAAGAAACTCATACGAATCGCATTGCTACTACTTATTCATTTTATACTTTTATATTTACTTATTCATTTATTTATATACTTTCTCATACGTATCTTGATAAATAGATAACTTATCGTCAATATTAGTTTTTTTTTCTTTTTTTTTTCTAAATCTAAATCAACTATTAATTTCTTTCATTCTATCTGATCTATATGATCGAATCATTAAATATCGATTAGACAATAGAAATTGAGAACAGCTAGTTTATCAAATATCCCTTATTCACTATCCTTTTATTTCGTTATTAATCGATTCTCGAACGTATCAAATGGATTATCCTAATCGATTTCCAATAACAACACGAACCATCGATGCAACGACATTGACATGGAAAATACGAAAGACATTTTCTAATCCTTTTTATTTCGATAATCTATGAAGCGTAATATAGGCCAACGAAGGAGTGTTAGTAGAGAAGTGTTAGAGTAAAGTGCGAGCGGTTGCCAAAATTTCTTAAGTGATTTTAAAAATCGATTATCAGACTTTTCGAAACTTTTCAGGCCAATTTCCTTTTTTGGATTATTAAAAAAAAACTTTCGGAGTGTCGATTTGAGAAAAAACAAAAAAAAAGAAAAGATCAGTCAAACAATTTCATTCATTCATTCGTTCATTCATTCATTCATTCATTCTTTGATTCATAAATTCTACTACTTTCATTCATTCATACATCTTACTTCTTTCATTAATCAATTCTATTTCATTCATTCATTCATTCATTCATTTATTCATTCATTCATTCATTCATTCTTTGATTCATAAATTCTACTACTTTCATTCATTCATACATCTTACTTCTTTCATTAATCAATTCTATTTCATTCATTCATTCATTCATTCATTCTTACGTTTTAACTTTCGAGATTAATTTTTTGTTTTTTTTTTTAAATAATACTATACAATTTGAGACCGAGATAGTAATCAGATAAGATTAAAAATAAATAAAAAAAAAAAAAAAAAAATTCATTGAAGTTATAGTAATAGGAAAAATCCGGAAAGTGTAGGCTGAACAGGAAGAATCAAATGGAGCCCTCTATAATTTTATACTTTGCTATAAGATGGCTACGTCGATCTGCACGTAAAGCTTCGACGTAGATATACGAAAAAGGTGTTCTTAAGTGTTCCCTCGAGGCGAGCCAAGGTTTGAACGAAAGAAACGTGTCTTATCGACCATCTCCCTTTCACTCTCACTGTTACTCTCGTTCTTATTTTTTCTTTCTTTTTCCGTATACACACACACACATACACACACACATATGTATATATATATATATATATATATATATACAAACAAACATGTGCGTAAACACATAAGTAAGTATAAAGGAACAGTTTCCTCCTCGAAGTTTCGGCCATTTTAAGATTATCAAGATCGTCGTTCATACGACAATCGAGAAGGTTAAAGGTCATCGTAGATTTTATCAAAACTCGTCGACTATAATTTCGTCGGATCACCTTTGAAAAGTGTTTTCTTCTTTCTTTTTATTATTATTATTATTATTATTATTATTATTATTATTATTATTATTATTATTATTATTTCCGATAGAAAACCCATTGAAGCGAGAGAAATTTCTATTCTTTATAAATTTTTTCGAAATTTTATTTATATAATATAAAATACGTCGAACGTGTTTTATTTATATCATTTATTAACTTACAACATTATATATAACACGCGATACGACGATAGATTATCCTGGATAAAAATGAAAAAGGATATCGAAATGTTACGTTTTTCATGATTTTCTTTCGAATATACACACACGCATATATATATATAAAACTAATGATTATAAATATTGCTAGTCTTTATTAAAAATATTCGGCTATTTTTATTCTCCTCCAGCCATGTCTAAGTTTATACGAAGAAAAGGAGAAAGAAGAAGAAGGGTTAAAAAAGCAGGCATCAAAGTTGCCAAGATTCTCATTTCATAAAAAGGAACCCAACTGTGCGATCTCTACAAATCTTCAGTAACAGTGGGAAAGAGAATGAATTGGATTGGAGCTTCTTTTAAACGCGTTTTCCTCTTTATTTCTTTTTGTTTTTTTTTTTCTTCTTTTTCTTTCCCCTTATTTTTTTTATCATTATCATTTTTTTTTTTTTTTTTGCATTTGCATGCTCGAACATCGATCGTTTTAACTAAGTACTCACTTTGTATAATCGTACTCGATAAAAAAAAAAAAATAGCAAAAGAAAAAAGAAAAAAAAAAAACAAGGAAAGGAAAGAAAAGAAAACAGAAAAAAAAAGGAGAATGAGAGAAGAAGAAAACAAAGTCGAAAAAGAAAAGAAAAGAAAAGAAAAGAAAAAAGGAAATTCTTACGAAAGACAATAATAATTCTATCATTATTGTACTTTATTCCAAAGGAAGATTAAGATCATAGATCATCTCACCTGTCCGATATTGTCCAACAATCTGTACTGGTTCAACTGTAATCCACCTTGAGTGTTATCGATGGAAACTCTCCTACTCTCCCTGAGAGGTCTCCTCCGATTCCTCGGCGATCCCTGGGGACTACCGTAAGGAGAATAAGGACAATAAGGATATATAGGTCTGACCGAGACAGGAGCAACGTCTGGGAGTACACGATGAAGAGTAGTAGTAGTGGCAGTAGTAGTAGTAGTAGTAGTAGTAGTAGTAGTAGCAGCAGTAGTAGTAGTAGCAGTAGTAGTAATAGTAGTACTACCACAACCACCACCATAACTTAGCTCGCCAATGGAAGAGGACAATTTTCTAAATGACGATGGTGCAGCTAAAGCGGTAACTTCAGATACGTTCCTTGAAACGACGACTCGTTCGATATTATTAGCATCATTTCCCTTATCGTCGTCGATCGATCTTCGTACGATTCTCGTACACGTTGACTCGACGACATTCGTCGTACTCGATCTATACTCAGATAATTTAAAAATCGGCTCCCTCGATTCCTCTTTCCTTTTCTCCTCGTCATCTCTTCTAGCTCCTTCTTCTCCTCCTCCTCCTTCTCCTTCTCCTCCTCCTCCTCCTCCTCCTGCTCCTGCTCTTCCTGTTATCTGCAACGAGATCCTTCGATCTTGCGAACAAACATCTATGTCCTCCAATCTCTCGTCCACTTGGTCCTCCGATTGCGTTGATATAAAACGATAAACTTTGGCCGACCTTGAAAAAATATCCGTCATATTTGACTCCCGATTCTCGATCTCGATCGATTTCATTCTACTCCTTTCTCTTCTATCGTATCTTCCCTCATTTTCCATCCCACTTTTATTCTCATCCTTCGAGGATTCGCATCTTGATTCCTCACGAACCCTTTCAAAAGTTTTCCTATCGTTGTTCGATTCCCTTTCGCGATTTTCACTTTTTATTGTCGTATTAGATTTAACATCTTCATCCCTTTTTGTAACCAATACCGCAATGGCCTCTTTTAAACTCGTCGAATCGTAAGGATCGCAAACAATTGTACGTCCTGTCGTTTCCATCGTACGACAATTATCCGATTCGAAGGATTTATCGCACGAACTAGTAGCTGTAGTTGTAATAGTAGTAGTAGTAGTAGTAGTAGTAGTAGTGATAGTAATGGTAGAAGTCTCGTTTGTTGAAGGAATCGACGGATTTCGAGATTGCTGGTCTACAAAAGAAGAATACCCCTTTTTTGTTTTATTTTTACTTCTTTCTTTCTTTCTTTCTCTCTCTCTCTCTCTCTCTCTCTCTCTCTCTCTCTCTCTCTCTCTCTCTCATTCTATCATTCTCTCATTCTCTAATTTTCTCTCCTTTTTCTCTTCTCCGTTATTCCATTTTATTTTCTTTTGGTTATACAGGTATAACGTTGCTTTTAATTTCTACGATAAAAATTCTAAGTGATCTGTTCTATTTTCTCTTTTTTCCTTTTTTTTTCCCTTTTTTTTCTTTTTTTTTTTTCCAGAGAGAAAAATTATTTCGAAAGTTCGGCTCGTATGAAATTTTACTTTTTCTTTCTTCATTTTTTTTTTTCCTTTTTTCTTTTTTCTTTTTTCTTTTTTTTCTTTTTTCATTTCAATAGCCGAGCTATGGTTTAAAATATTTTCACTAATATATTATCTCTTATATAATATCCCGTTTTACATAGATGATATATGTTGTATGTTGAAAAACATTAAATCGATTAATCTCTCCCCCTCTTCCTCTCTCTCTCTCTCTCTCTCTCTTTCTCTACTATAAAACAAACGCCGCTATCGGGTTCAAAACTATGTCGATAGGATTATTAAAAAAAAAAGAAAAAAAAAGAAAAGAAAAAAAAGAAAAGAACAAAAAATAAAAGTACAGTAGAAAAAGAATAGAAAAAATATGTAAAAAAAAAAAAAAAAGAAAGAAAGAAAGAAAGAAAGACAGAAAAAAAATACAACGAACGAAAAAGCAAAAAATATATAAAAAATACTTGACGCAAAACTATATCGAGAGAAGGAAGTATTAAATTTTGGAATAGATTTTATTCGTGTTTATTAAAATGATGTAAAACGGGATAGATTAACTATAACAATATTGAATATTTTTAACGATATCTATAAAGTTATCGATAGTCATATCGATTCTTTGTAAAGATGATTTTTTAAACACGTGTAAGTACTTATTCTCTTTTTTTACTTTAATTAAATTTTTTATATTCATCTATCGAAACGAAGTTGGACAGACTCTTCAATTATCTCCGATATATATATATATATATATATAATATAAAAATAAATCTTTACTTTGCATTCTCTCTGACGTCGATTTAATTAAACCTCGTTTCTGAATTGAATATATCAAATAGAAATCAAATTATATATATATATAGGATGTTCCAAAAATCATACATCAAATAGAAGAAGCTATATATATATATATATATGTATGTATAACGATATATATCGAAATATTTCACTCACTTTCACGATCGACAAGATTTCCATCAAGATTTTCCTGCGATAAGGACGAAGTTGAATCGTCCTTAACAAGTTCTTTAACTTCTTCGATGTCAGGCATATCCAAACCCGAGCTCGAAAGCTTCCTATGGATCTCAGTAGTCGGCATCCTTTCTAAAACGTTATTGTTATTGCTCGGGACGATTGAGTAACGAGATTCGTCTTCTCCAAATCGTGAATTGTTACGTTTCGCCGATGATCTACGTCTTTCCTTTAATAAATCTTGTAGGATGTCGACGTTAGTCGAGTTCCTTCTGTCCTCGTCGAATGTACCAAGATTACTAGAGTATCCGCTGCTTTCTCTACGTGGCCTTGAGAATCTCAACGAGCTATACCTTCTTGCAAATTCACGTTGATCGAAACCCTCGGCCTCCTCGAGAAATAATGCACTGTCCTTTCGTACCTCTATTATCTCCGAATCCGACGTCTCTTCCGGACTGGACGGTATCCTGACGTTATCCTATAAAAAAAAAAAGAAAAAAAAAAAAAAGGAAATAAAATAAAAAAGAGATAGAGATAGAGAGAGAGAGAGAGAGAGAGAGAGAGAAAGAGAGAAGGAAGGATAAAATAAATTTGATGATACCTGGAATTAATTAGTTGATATTAATCTTTGTTAATTGGATCGAAATTGAAAACGATTTTTCTCTTTGATCAACCAATTAATAATAATGATATCAAGTCAAACGTAAAGTTTCATTGTACTTAATTTTTTTTCTCTTTTTCATTCATTCATACTCACTAATCGAAATAATTAATTTATCAACGTATTCAATTTCGTATATGATCGATTAATTTACCGAGCTAAGAGACGACGACGCATTCCTCCATTTTGAATCTTCGAATTCCTTAGCGATCCTTTCTATATGCAATTCCGATCCTTTTTCAAGATCGTAAGATATCTTGTCGAGGGGTATCGCCGTTGACAACTGTTTCTCGATGATGCTCTCGTTATTTTTCAAACGCGTATCATAAAGAATCTCCTTTCGTTCCTTTTTCAAATCGTAAGGATCCAGGATTTCGCCTGTTGACATACGAGAAAAGGTTTTTTCTACTTGACACCTTAACGGTTTGTCATCTCTTTTTTGTTCGATAATCCCTGGATATATTTCCCCTCGATTGGATGTCACTGTCAAAGGATAAACAGGATTTTCTATCTTCGATTCCAATGGTATTTCCAAAGGTAAATTCTTTTCGGTTTCCGACGGTGAAACCGTCAGTTTCTTCGTGGACGAGCCCGGTGATTCCTCGTCTACTGCGTCGTATCTAAAAAAAAAAAAAAAAGAAAAAAAAACAAAATCATTCGTTTTATATTAACTCGTGAATATTTTCATAGATTCGTTTGTAATAAAAATATAAAACAAAAATGATGATAATAATAATAATAATAATAATATAGACAAAGAAGAGGATAATAGGTACGACGAGAATTATTGTTAATTGCGAATTTGAATATTTTCATGGTTTCGTTCGTAAAAGAGAGAGAGAAAGAGAGAGAGAGAGAAACTCATGAAGAAAAAATTAATAATACAATAATTATTGTTAATTATAAATAATTACGAACAGGATGATTTTGCATTCGTTTAACAAAAATATATATATATATATATATAAATGGCGAACGGTCAATTAGAATGAACGTAAATCGTATCAATCAAAATCCATCTATCCGATATATTCGACAATATTAAATAATCAAAGAAACGTAGAAATCCACGCTCTAAACGGGTGAACTTACAAATGATTTGTTTTAATGGGAAATGATAAAGCTTCGAATTTTCATTTGATACCGTCGGGCTCGCTTTATTTCTATAACGAGATGAAATATACGTGTCCAATTAAAAATTACGTTTGCAATTTATCGATCCTTTTTACTTTCTTCTTTTTCTCTCTTTTTATTTTTTCTTTTTCTATTTTTTTTTCTCTTTTTTTTTTTTTTTTATGTCCCTTTTTTATGCCCCGAAGCTTCGAAAATAAGTTCATAAAAGAAGGCGGCGAAGTGGATTGGGAAGATTGGAATCAATTGAAATTAATTAAATAAAAAAATAAAAAAAAAGAAAAAAAAAAGGGATAAAGAAATTTGACTTTGTGAAAATAATAATAAATTTTCATATCTTAAATTTCAATTGAATTCGTTCGATTTGAAATTCATCGACGTGTTTATCTTCTAATAATAACAGATTTTCGTTATCTCGAATATGGATTCGTATAATCACGAAACAATCATAGTTATACGAATCCATAAAAGAGAGAGAGAGAGAGAGAGAGAGAGAGAGAGAGAGAGTATTGAGAAAATGACTAAAATCGACGTTTAAACGGCCTTGGGCAAAGAGAATACGTGCCATTAAATTTCGAATTGCACGAAGAGCAACGCATTTAAGTATATCTATAAATCTTTCACGAGACGAGAAATGGAAAATTAGCAATTGAAATTGATTCCGAGGTTATAGTTAAATTATGAAATTTAAATGATAGATAATATTTTTCGATTAACGAAGAAAGAGAGAGAGAGAGAGAGAGAAAGATAGAGAGAGAAAGTAAGATCAACGGAGAAACAAAAAGAAAAATATTTTCATTTAGAAAATACGAAGATGATTTTTTTTCTATAAATTTTTTTTCCCTTTTTCGCTCGTAAAAAATTATCGTTAGATATTCGTTTTCTTTCCTTAAATTTATACAATAACGAATAGAATCGTAATTTCCGTATAACTGTATAATTT